GGGCCTCTCTGGATGCGGGGACCGTTGGCTCAGGCGTGTCTTCAGGCAGGAGAAGGCAAGGCCGCCTCTGCTCCCCACGCCGCGTGTCTAGTCAACGGCACATACCTTTGGATCCTGAGGCCGAGGTAGAGTTTCCATGGTTGTTCAGCTTTATTTACTATTGAAATAATATTCAAGGAAAATTTAGGCAATTTTTCTTGTTTTTTTCACACAAAGATGTTTATTTTGGTGTTTCCTTTCATTTTTTAAAATTCAAATTCCTGCATGGTAGCATAAAAGTTTTGTAGACTATATTTATTATACTTTCTTGCTTAACATGATAAAATAATAAAAAATAATTGTTATGACTATAATATTCAAATATAATTTTAGAAAGCTACAAACATTCCCACCTACTCGATATACCCTATTTAACAGTTTCCTCTTTGCTGCATATTTTAGGTTATTTCTAATCTTTAATTATCATGAAAGTGTGAGACATATATGTCTTTGTAAACATTATTTTTTTTCATTTGAATTACTTCCCGATGCCAATAATCGTTACTGGTCAAAGGTGTTCTCCTGTTGTTCTTGCCACTGTCAGCAATAAGAGAATTTCTCTTTTCCTACAGCTTCATCAGCATTGGGTTTTAGGTTCTAATTTATTTTTATGTGTATCATGTTAGTGAGCACTTTCTTGGTAGGCAGCTGACTAGGGCAACAACCATATGTCTGGAGTCTCCTCTTCCTTGTCTTATCTGCGCTATTCTGTATCTATTTACGCTAGCATTTGCTACCCTCTGCTGCACTCAGCTTTGAGCACACTTTGGTGGGGAACACCGATGACATTCTTTCCTTGGTGGGTCCAGTTGGAGAGTGAGAAGGCAAGCGCTTAAGCAGTATGCAATGGTAAAGGAGGTGAGTTCCCCAGGGAAGAGAACGTGTGTTATTGGAGGCAGTGCCCGGCGCCTGCTTCAGATGCGACTTCAGGGAAACACCCTGAGGACAGGAGAGTTTGCCTGGGGAGGGAGGGGTCAAGGCCAGCGAGGGCTCTCCCGGCAGGGGGAGGAGCAGGTGTGAGGGTGCAGGGTGGGACGGGGCAGCGCTTCGCAAGCCCACAGAGGGTGTGGTGTGGTGGGCGAGAGTGGGAGAGGACACACGGGGCTGGAGAAGTTGGCAGGGGCAGATGGTGACCTTGCAGGTTGGACTGAGGAGCTGGGTTTGCTCCTCAAGTGCAGTAGAAACCTGGTGATTTGCCCACACACATTCTCAGAAGGGAGTTGGGGGGGTGACCTTTTAATCTTGACCCAGAACAGTTTCACTGAACCTACTTGGGAGGTTCCTGGGTGACCGGCTGGGGGAGAACTTTGGCCAGCTAGGATGCCCTTGGCCTGGAGAATGTTTTTTCCCCTGAGATCTGGGCATTTCATGGCTAGGGCGTGGTCAGCTTCAAACCCTTCACTCCACACTGCAGACGAACTTTGGAATGCCTTGCAGGTGGCCACACTGGTCTCTTGCTTTAGACGCAGATCACTGCACGGTAGTTTGGAGTGCTTTCGTTAAAGCGGAGGTCACAAGGGGACTTTGCCTTCATTGCCTTTTTACTTGTCAAAAGTAGTGTAGTTGCATCAAAGATACTTAGAGAAACTTCTCTGGACGTGACAAAATCCCTTCCTCTCCCAGGGAAGTGCGCTTAGCGGGCCGCTTGCTGCTTCTTTCCCGAGACCTGCGCATCGCATCAGAATCGAGCCCTTCCGTGACAGAGGACGTGCTCCGGTCCTTCTGACAGCTGTGTCCCAGCACTTCAGCCTGTGGGGCTTAAGTGACTCGTTTTCCATGAGTCGTGTCTGCAGTCCTGTACAGTGTGGGGAACGGACTGAGAAAAGACCCTGGCCGGCGGTAGCTGCGCAGCACGTGAGCCGCTCCTTACCGGCGTCTCGCTGCGCACTCGCTGGCTGCCTGTGGCCGTCCGTGCTGCTTCTGCGAAGACGTATTAGCCATTTATCATTGAGGCTTTGGATAAGCACATTGATAAACTACCGTGTTTAGAATCACTCAGGCATCAGATTTCATGGACATTAATATTTCATATCGTTGTAGTCCTCAAGTCTCATTTTGAATTTTAATCTGTTATTGAGGTATAGCGTACGTACGACAGAGCGAGCAAGGCACCACTAATCTTCCGTGTATGGTCTGGTGGATTTTTATCTGTGATACACCCTGATCCAGCCCCCAGAGGTTTTCCTCATTCCCTTTCTTATTCAACACACCTCTCCCCAAGGGAACCACTATCTAGAGTTCTTTCATCCATTAGTTTTTCTTGTTCTTGACTTTTACATAAACAGAATCGTGCAGGACGTACTCTTTTGTGCTCGGCTTCCTTCCCTTGATGTAGTAACTGAGATTCAGCCTTGTCGTCGCATGTTTCATTCAGTAGCTTGTTCTTTGTTAAAGCCACAATTTGTTTATTCACGTTCATGTTGATGGACGTTTGGATTGTGTCCAGTTTGAAGCTATTACAAAGAGTGCTGCTGTGCATGTTCTTGTACATGTCTTTTTTGGACATCCTACACACTCATTTTTCCTGGATATGCCTAGGTGTGGAATTACTGGGTCAGAGGGTGGGTGTATGTTTAGTTTTAGCAAATCCTGCCAAACCCTTTTCTAAAGCGGTTGTACTAATTTATACACCTACGAGCAGTATATTAATAGCTTTGTCTGCTCTATATCTTTGCCAACGCTTGGCTTTGCCTCACATTTAATTTAATACTGGTATGTGTGAGAGGTGTGAGGGGTTTGTGGTGTGTGTGTGTGGGGGGTTTCCAGGGAAACCAGGGGGAGTAAGATGGAGAGTCTTGAGGTCATCCTGGGGGCCTGACTCCCTGGGCCTGTGCGTCATGAGCAGTGGTCAGAGGTCAGGGGCGAGGTCAGTGTGGAGGGCGGTATTGGCCGAGGGCTCCTAACCCGTGTGGACAATGAAGCTCTGAGGACAGAGAGGCAGGGAGTTTTCAGCCCCACTTTGGAAACTATAAGATGCCCAGATATGCAAAGAAGATACGTGAAGAAATTTTGACTAACCTGGAATTATCAGTCAGGGTGTTGGCAAGAAATGAGTTGCATGCTCACACTGGATAATTTGAGGAGAAGTTAACAAAGGGACTGTTTACAAAGATAGCAGCAAGGCATAGGGGCGTCCCAAAGGCTAGCGCTCTGCTCTGTCTCAGTCTGAAGGGAGGAGGAAGGGAGCAGTTACTTGGCTGGGAGACGTTGAGTGGTGGAGACCCCAGCGTGTGGCCTTCGGCTGAGGCCAGCCTGCCCATGAGACCTGGCAAGGAGGGAGCTCAGGACAGACGTGTCCCCACCTCACCCTTCTTCCCTGTCCAGTGACCCCAGAGGGTGAGCCCAACCAGAAGCCAAGGGCAAGCATACCCATTGATGCAGACTAACCTCAGTCTGCGTTCTTGGACAGAACTGGGCTGGAGAAGGGCAGGGAGTGGTGGTATCCGGGGAGGCAGAGGAAAAGTACGCGGCACACTGGCTGTACATGGCGCTCATCATTTCTCATTAGGGCTCGCTGTGAAACTTTGTGAACAGCCAACATCATAAATCCTGTGCCTTGGAATGACACCAACTATGGAGTATTTACTTTCTTGTCCATTTGCCTTTCTAAAAATTATTAGTTAATTTCTACCCACACATGGAGAGCCATTCAGGACCAGAAAGCACAAACTGATGATGTCCCTTATGTCTCAGATCATTAGCAGTTGACAGTGACCTCCTTCCCTACAGCATGAGCTCTGTGAAGGTCAGCACTGGTCCTTACTTGTCCCTGGACTCCCAGGGCTTAGCACGGGGCCTGGCGCACAGCACTCAGTAGCAAAGGGAATGTCTGCTGAGTAAAGATGGAAGAATGATGTCTGGTGTAAGCCAGCCTTGACTGATAAGCACATAATCAGTAAATACATGAAAGAATAACACGCTTATAGAGATGACAAGTTGTAACAAAAATGCCAAGATAGTCGACACCATTATTTAGAATATTAAACAATGGATCTCTTAGAATTCACATGTGGCACAGGGGAAACTTTGAAAGTTTAGCTTTGATGCCTTTGTGATGCAGAGAAGGACAGTAGGTGTCATTCCTACTCAGACAGTGGTTTATTTATTTCGGGATGACTCGTCAAAGCCAACAGCCCTCATGACCAGAGGGCTCTAGAGTGCCTCCTAATTTGGCTGTGTGAGCCATGACACACATTTTTGGTGGCCCTGACTCTGTGCAGCATACTTGTGCTTTCCCTGTGCCAGCCACCATCGTCACTGTGTCCAAGGGTGGCGGCACGGCCAGCGCCTTTATTACGATTTCCATTTGTCATGACTTCAATCCTCTCTTTAGCTCCAGCTCTGTGACCTAAAACCAACAAACACACTTCTCCAGTCCTGTAGCTTTTCCCGCCCAGCATTCCCTTACCTTCTTACCGGCAAGCGTGTCTCAAACCTTTCCCCAGGTGAGTGCGTCCACCAAAGCCGTCAGCCAGTATACCTGGGTAAAACCTGTGCCACAGGCTAAACCCGGCAGCGTAGCCCATCCCCTTGGATTCAGGCTCGTGACTCAAATCAGGCCAATGAGGACTGACAGGACTTACTCAGGGCACCCTGGCCAAGGTGTCGGTAGAGGCCAGGGTGCCCTGTGTTCTGAGGATGTGGTCCTAGAGCTGGCAGGGGTGCTCGGTGGGGAAGCTCAGGACCAAGCCAGGGAGGAAGGGCTGACAGAGGCAGCCTGGTGGCATCAGCTAAGCCCCGGGCCAGCCAAAGCTGGAACCCAGACGCACCTCTGCACGTTGTGGCTGTAGGAGATGATTATTCCTTGGGTTGGAATTATGACACTTCTCACTGTGTGTTCTGTTTGCAACCAGGAGAGTTCTACTGAATGCAGAGGTAGTTGCAGGTCAATCACTCATCTGGCGTTTTCTCCCATTTCTCATATTTTATGATCTATGTAAAACACTGATTATGAAGTGGATGCTCCAGTTCTACCACCAGTGGCTGGTTTTGCACCGGGGCTGTGGATGTGCTTTGTGTCCACCCTCACATACCGAGTATCGAAGACCAGAGGCAACACACTCGCGAAGGAGCTTGGTGCCCACAGGTAGGAATGGAGACAGCTGGAGGGAGGCCAAGGTTCAATCACACGACACTGTAACCATTGACACGGCCAGCCTCTCACATTGGAGGCTGCTTGAATGGCCCCACGTCGGGACACTGAGCACGAGGACAGACCACGCCCAACCGCAGGTGGGAGGTGAAGGCCACTCAACTGGGAGGCAGCGCGAGGTCAGCCAAGTGCACCTGCACGGCGGAACCTTCTCTCCAGCCGCGGCAGCTCCCTAGACTCATTCAGGTCTTGGGACAGAAAATGAACAATAATGACCTTATCTTGAAGCTTTGAGAATTGTAAGAATTCAGGTTAAATATGACGCATGCCAAGGGCATGGAACGGGTGGAAAACAAGAAGACAACTCCCCCCACATAGCGGAACGGTATGTGAGTGTCATCTTGTGCTGCTTCCTCTCTGGGGTGTGTGCGCGTGTGTGTATTAATATTTTGTTTGTGTTATTTTGTTACTGTTGTGTGTTTCTCTTTCTCTCCTATGGCCTATTTTGCTGGAGGGGTCGATACAGTTCTGTTTTTCGCCTTCTTGGCTCCAGAGAAGTCGCTGGGGATGAGGAAGGCTCCTGAGTGAGACAAGGCTTTCTGGGAGAGAGAGCCATCAACTCGAGCAACGGTGTGGGTGCTGAGACCCTCGGTTTACGGCCTTCCCTGCCACTCGGTTGCCGTTGCTGAGGCGTAGACGCCTGGCATCCTGGCTGGAAAAGCCCAGTCTGTCTTCTGGCTTCCATGTGGAATGCTTGTCTGCCTTTCAACTCAGTTGGGCTGCAGATTATGCACCATTTGTCTACTCATCCTCGTTGGGGTGAGGAAATGCAAATTACGTTGTCTTTGATGTGCTAGAGGCATAATAGCGATTTCCGACTTTTTTTCCTGGAGCCAAAGCCTTCCCGAACCTCCACACCAGGGAGATGGTCTTAGGGTGGTGGCGCTCGTGCCGCAGCCCGGCTGGGCGGCCTGTGCCTTGTCTGTCGGGTGCATTCATCATCAGATCAGACTGCCGGGGAGGATCCTCGAAGCTCCAGGAGCAAAGAGAGGGGATTTTTACTTTTAAAGCAGAGGGAAAGTCAGAAAGTAATTAGTATGCACTAATTAACAACAACAATAATAGTAACAACAGTAACACTTTGAATTAGTGCCTAGCATGAGAGTTGCTTCGAGTTCCGTGCCAGGCTTCTTAGGGACGGCGGCCGTCTTTCAAGTTGTCGTGCATCCATTCTGAGCTATGACAGTGGTGGTCTGTTTTGAAACATTTACTCGCTGGCGTTGTTAATTGAGAGAATTCTATAGCCTTACTTAGGCGTCTAATTTTGCACAGCATCTGCTATTGATGTCACTGGTTTAAGTATTTAGAGAAGAGAGAAGAAAGCAAATGGAGAAGATAAAAATATATATAGTTCATTGCTGTGGAGGCACAGAAGAGTTCCGCTTGGACGGCCAACACCTTAGAGGCCGTCGTACCAGTGATCAAATGTGCGCCATGTTTTGCCAAGTATCCCGGGCCGCCACATCTGCCATCGCCACCTGTGATCATTTTCTTCCTCTTTTGCACTAAATAATCAATTACAAGATTCTGGGTTTTTCTCCACTTACTCATTTATTACTGGCTCAAGACTTTGCCTCCAATGGTGCCAGAGTGGGGACGTGAGAGCCTCCGCCTCGGAGGTCAGGGCAGACGATTTGCGAGTCATTAGCTGGCGAAGGACAGATACGGTCATTGACCAAGTGTGTGAATATCCGCTTTGAAAACGGTCTGAAAGGTGTAAAAACTCACAAAGCTCAACACTGCTGCTTTTTTGGGGCCGAGCCAGGCTCTCTCTGGGCTACCACTGGAAATGTTAAATTGTCACAAACTTTCTAGGGAGCAATTTGGCATGCGCATCTCTTTATCATTTAACCCAGTATTTCCTATTCTGTGAGGCCATCCTGAGAAAATGATCAGTGTCTGGCACGTACTAGAAGCTCAGACGTGGTGAACAAAGGGCAAACGTACAGAAGGATATGCACAAAAAGAGCTTCATTATAGCACTTAACCCCCTGTCAGGAAACCACCTAGATGCTCAGTAAAAGGGGAACCATTAAATTATAATAGAGCATTTTGTTGTCATCAAGAATGAGGTTTACTGAGTTTCTAATTGGACAATATTACTGGTAAAATGGTAAGTTAAAAAAAAAAGAATATAAAACCATGTACACTGTGACCTCAAGACAGACATGAATGGAAAAGAGAAGAGTGGTGATCTTACAGGTGAATTTTAATTTATTCTTTATATCACTCTATTTTTCAACATTTCCATAATGAAAACACGTTATAAAAGTTTGTATTAATAAAATAACTTACTTTAAATATGCATGAAGAAAATAAAATATTCTTTGAAAAAATCCTATTACCCTGGACAGTATACAGAAATATCAGTTCCTCCCTATTATTTTTATACCTGACTTTATTGCTAGATTTTCTTTAGGGTCTTTTCTAGAGAGAAGGCAGACACCGTATCTGATGGTCCTTGGGGTACACATGTGGCCTTAGTTATATATAAGGCAAATGTGAAAAATTGGTCACAATGAGGTTTTTTTGTTTTTGTTTTTGTTTTTGAGACAGGGTCTTGCTCTGTCTCTCAGGCTGGAGTGCAGTGGCCTCATCACAGGTCACTACAGCCTTAAACTCCTGGGCTCAAGTGATCCTCCTGCCTCAGCCTCCTGAATAGCTGAGATTTACAGGCTCGCACCAACATGCCCAGCTAACTTTTTCTATCTTTTGCAGAGACAGGGTCATGCTCTTTCTCAGGCTGGTTAAACTCCTGGCCTCAAGTGATCCTTCTGCTTTGACCTCCCAGAGTGCTAGGATTACAGGTGTGAGCCATTGGGTATCTTAATGGTACACTGTGGGGCCACACGCATGTTCCAGGTCAGGTTGGTGCAGCAGAGCTATTTAAAGAAGCCCTTGGCGTACAATAACTTGGGCCTGAGGAGACCTCTGGTCTAGAGTGTGGTGTACACTAGACTTGAGATGTTGAATGTGGGATCCATGGACTAACAGCATTGACATCATCGGGAACCTGGTTGCAAATGCTGAAATGCCAGCCCCTGCCAGTCCCACTGCATCCGAACCTGGGGTCAGTAAGATCCCCAGGTGAGTCCTGGGTACCTTCAAGGTTGAGAAGTGCTACTAGCGAAGGGATGCCGAGCCCTGCACCAGCACCCCTGTGGGGAAGGAGAATTGGGTGGTCGTGATGATTGATTTGCTGTCGGTGGCGGGAAATGGACTTTACCAAATATTTGTAACTTGCACCAGGCCTGTTGGGTTGATGACGAATCAGAGCTCATCTCAGCAGTCGTGGAGAAGTGGGGTGGATATGGGGGAGACCTGGTGCCTGGGTGGCTGCCAAGCAGGCCTGGTGATTGCTTTGCAGCATGTGGCCCCAGGCCCCAGGGCTGTAGCGCTGAGCCCCTTAGAGGAGCCAGCAGCCCTGAAGTTCTTTGACAGCCCAGCTTGCCTTAGAATGATGAAATACCTGACTTTGCATTTTTTCTAAAAGAAGAAATTGACAAAATGTGTCAATTTTAAGTTTTACTTGCCTTCTATTTTCAGTTGAGGGCAGTCCCTCTAATCCAAGGTCTCTTTCTAAATACCCCTGTCAGCGGCTCCCTGTCTTTCTGTCCCCTGTAGCAAACCCACCTGTGAATTGAAGGGAGGCTGGGTGGTTACAGGTGCCTGTCTTCAGACTGATGAGTCTTTGACCAAGCTCAATGGATTGAATTTAAAGGGTTGTTCTTTAGCTGAGACTAGGATCTTTTTCTGTTTTGCTGTTAACATTTTTTTCTTTTACAATGATGACTTTTTTTTCTTATAGTGTTCTTGGCAAAAACAGAATGTTGGCAAACCTGTGTGTGTGAATTAGGTAGCTACCATCTTTGACTTCTTGTCTTGGGCCTTTCTGAAGGACCTGGGCGTTTTAAAGAGGTTATAGTTTCATCCTGGTGGAGATCCAATCCAGTCTCTGAGCACAGAACCCGTCATTCGGTGGGAGCAGACACGTGGCATATTCCTAAAAGGCTGACAGTGTGTTAACCCCCCGTCCTCCCAGACCTGTCACCCCCAGCAGATTTCAGGAGCCACCGTGACTTCTCCTCTGCAAGCTGAAACTCAACATTTCTAACTAACTTAAGCAACAGAAATGTTACAGTATATTCCAGCGTTGACTGCTGTACCCTGTTATAACACCAGCAGGGGAATCGCTACCCTGTGGGGTGTAAGCAGGACTGGCCCAAACCATTTCCACCCTATGACCCGCGGAAGCTCCTCCGGGATAGGCGTGCAAATCCCAGGCAGGCCCGGGGGCTCGGAGCCTCTGCTTCCCTGATGGTGCCGGTGTCGGTTCTGGTTCTGATGGCCACACCTTCCTGCGCACAGCCGCCTCCCTCCTGCACCCGCTTCCCCACCTCCCTGCGCCCTCGCCTACTGCCGCTGGGGTCTCGCCTTCCCCTCCAGGGGCCCATCGGTGTCTCCCTCAGCACACACAGCGCCCGCGCTCACCTGTTGCCAGCTGTTAAGATAATAAAATGTCACGCTGGCACACTACTGTTAGCAAGAAATGAGATGTGACGCCTCACCCCTGACGGTGACATAGGGGGAGACCAGGGCCAGCTAGAGACTCAGCTCCACGGAGCTGACCCTCTGATTAGCTGTTGTCGCCTGGGCCCTGCAGGGAGCTGGGGCTGGGGCCGGGAACCCTGGGACCGGACTTAACCCTCCCGTGCTCGGCAAGCGGTGCTCCTCCTGATGCCCTGGGAGGGAGCTGAGCAGGGCGAGGGCGGGAGTCTGCTCCCCGTCCTCCTTAGCCTCTGCCCTGCGCGAGGGCTCCATTTCCCGCCCCGGTGGGGGGCGCGTTCCTGCAGATCTGGAAGGAGTCCTGGATCTTCCTGTACCCGAACCTCGGCTTTTGCGCTTTGACTTTCCGAGGACGGAGTCTTTACCTG